TGGTCTGTGCAGGACTTGCCTCAACGGATGGGCCGTCAAGACGGTGACTGAATGTTCCTGGAAATATGGTCGGAGTTTTCTTGCAGCGATGACAAGAGCGTAAGCCAACTTTTCCATTGGCGGGTATCTGAGCTCGGCGTCGTGTAATACTTTGCTCACGTAGTAGATCGGGTGTTGACATGTCTCCTCCTCTCTTATGAGTACAGCGCTGACTGCCGAGTTGCTTACACCGAGGTATAAATACAGGTATAAAAAGGGACCTGAAGTCAGCCAATAGGCTAATAGGCCTAAAGTCAGCCACTTTCATGGGGTTTAAAATTTTTGGAATCAATGAAATCACAGTATGGTTAATTTTCTGAGGAATGCAGCCTTTTTGGAAAAATTTAGTAATGGCTTCACAAAAATCTGATTTAATAACAGGCCAACAAAATTGAAAAAAGAGAGGGGTCATACCGTCTACACCCGGGGCTTTGTTGGGATTCATCTCCATGAGCGCTTTCTTTATCTCTTCTTCATCTATTGCTTTTGTCAACTCTTGATTCATCTGGTCCGTAATCACCCTCTGGAAACCTTCTAGATTGAGATCATCCACTTTATGTTCAGAGGATGTGAATAGTTTCTGAAAACAATCCACTATTTCAACCAGTACTGCATCTTCATCCTCACATTTTGTCCCATCATCTCTCATCAGCACCTCAATATTGTTCTTCCTCCTCTGGTCTTTAACACAAGCATGAAAATAACTTGTGTTTTTATCCCCTTGCTTTAGCCATCTTACTCTTGACTTCTGTTTCCAATATTCTTCCTCTTCTTCATAAGCTTGATGAAGCTTCTTTTTAATCTCCACCCACTTTTCCCATTCTTTTCTACTTCCTTGATTTAGCATAACAGCCAGTTGTGAGTTGTAACTGTCAATAAGCCGAGCTGAGTTAGAATTTTGTGTTGCCTTCCAGTTCAAAAGTGCCATCCTTGTGTTTCTGATTTTGCTTATTATCATGTACAGAGGAGGACCTGAAGTTTCCTTGTCCCATGCTTTTCTTACTGTTTCTAGAAATCCCTCCTTCTTTGTCCACCTTGCATCAAAATAAAATCTTTTCTTCCAGAGGCCTGTTCTTTGAGAAGTGTCCATAACCAACAAGAAATGATCAGAGGATATTCTGGAAATATGAGAAACAGTGGAATGGGGAAAAGTTAAGAGCCACTCATCAAAAAATAAGAACATATCCAATCTCTCTTCTACAAAACCCTCCCCATTCCTATTATTAGCCCAAGTGTAAGGATGTCCTTTAAATCCAATGTCCTGAACTCTCATATCCCTCAGAAACTCTCTAAAGATTTTGAAACTGCTCTCAGCCCTCATTCTACCTCCTCTCTTCTCTTCATTAGACACTAGA